TCAGTGAATCTTGCGATATATGATGTTAAATTTTAGTATTCAAAAATTTTTATATAATTAAAATATTTATGAATTTAAATTTACATACATATCTCAGCTTCCACCGATTCAAATTAAATGAAATTTTACTATATTATAGATTGAGATTGCATCAATAATATATGAAATTTGAACTAATTCTGATCAGTGCATCTTGAGATATACAATGTCAAACTTAGTGTTCAGAAACTTTTGATAGCCCTCTGTAGAATACGCAGATAGCTACACTTTCAGATACATATCCAGTTGCCTATCTTTTATATTTTGCTGACTAAGTTTGCTATAGCTTCTGTGGAAAATGATCTAACAATTTTCTTTAGAATCCCAGACATGTAAGCTTTTCTCCTGAAGAATTTTGATTAAAAGTCAAATATATGAGAAAAAAATGTGTATGTGCTCATTTTCTGCAAATGCATAGCATCAAAGGAGAGTATCCATCGAAAAAAATAAATTAAACATTTTGGAAATATATTAGAGTATATAAAGTTTTACCTACTGACACCATGTATACCTCAACTACTTCTAACCAAAATCATAAAACTAACTCAACGCTCACCTGTTATGACGGCGCTGAGTCTTTAACAGTATTCTATCACATAATGAGATCATAGCAGAATATGATAATGGGATGACTATACTTTAGCAATGCTTATCCGAAAAGCAACCTATACATTTTATACCTACAGATATAAGTGATGAAGCTGAATATATAAATGGAATGTCTACCTATATTTTACGTATCAGTAGTACTTTAATCAATAAGTAAAAGGCAATCATAGATATTACAAACATCAAACCCTTCTTTGCCAGAAAACTATTCCTCATCTGGTCCTAGAGAGACCCCTTCATTTAAGACTATATTAGCACACATTTTATCTACTACTCTCAAAAATGAATCAAAGTTTGGGTTTGAGAATATTCGCGCTTTCTCACTTCAAGGATATCATACAGAAAAAAAAGCATATATCTGTGTGAGAACATAGAACCACTTTGATCAGAATAATGTATTAAAAGCAGTTCGTGAAGTTGGTATTCATACTGCTTCTAAAAATCTAATTTCCAAATATTATCATCATAAAGTAATCTGTGAAGAAAGATTACCTCTTTCAAGTTGTGCAGTATTTTGCAATTATTCATATACACCCTCAGTAAATGCTTATCTCTTCTGAATATCTGTTAACAATTATAACTTAATAAGCGATAATGAGTATAATAATCCATTATTTTTCTCAATGCTTTCACGAAATCGCATCCTTGTTTTCACGTAAGATATCAAGATATATAGCTCACGAAAAACAGGTGAGGTACCTAATGCAAAATATGAAGAAGACGTTGTGTTCATGATTTGTATGACAGTTTATTAGAAAGATAATCCTGAACTATTAAAGCAAATCTGTCTTGTTGACATTAAAACTGCACTAGACTCACAGTTGATTACGATTATATGCAGATCTCAAGTTAATTTATTAAAAACATTCATCTTATGCTAGAAACTTTTAGCTCAGATATACATATAAACTTTAATGATTCACAATATGACTGGTCATTTATTGTGGAGAAAGCTAATAAATTAATAGTGAAAACAAGTATTACTAATAGAAAGTGTCTACTTGAAATTGTTTCAACATTCTCGATACTATTTGATTTCTCTTTCTGTGTCTTAGAACTCGTAAACCATTTGAGTTGTCAGGTGAGTGCCAAATTAACTTTAGACTTATTCATTTCATATTTCATTGCATACCATTCTTAGTGATATTCAAGTGCGTCCCAATCTTCACAAGGTGTGGTGATGAAATAAGAAAAACCCAGCTTATCTGTAAGATTACTGTCTTTTCTTATTGTTCTAAGGTTAGTTAATAAAAACAACTCATATTCAGAATTTCAGATGTACCAAAAAATTACCATTTGATAAATCGCTTGACAAATGTATCACCCTGTCACAATCATCAGTTTATTTTCCTTTTTTGACATTTTTGACTTTTTTATTTTAGAAGTGTTACACATCAATGATATCATAATAAATTGGTATTTAACAAAAACTGTAATGAATCATTTAACAGAATTTGCTCAATGAAATTCATAATGAATTGTTTAACAAAATTCATTACAATTTATTTAAATGAAATCATATAATGAAATTTATAATAAATTGTTATAGCAAACTATTAATTACAGATTATTAACAAATCTTATTAATAAAACTTATTAGCAAATTATTACTAATTAGTAAATTCTAATTGAATAATAATCATCAATCAGAGATTAAACTGATTGATAACTAATTATTAATTGAAGCTGATTTGTTATTATTGAACATAGAGTTTTAAATTTATTTAAAATAAGTATAAAATTAGGTTAAAATCCAATTATATAATTTTACCTAATAATATAAATTATGTATTAAACTAATTCATATTAAATTATAGTATCTACTGATTTCTATCTATTAATTACTGATCAAAAAATAATAATCAATCAGGAAGATACCCAGATTAATCAACATTTAATCTGTGTTTAGTCAAATAGAAAATATCATCTATAGAGCAAAAGTTTATTTAATTATTTGTAATTATTTTCAAAAATTTGAACATATATTTGAAAAAAAATTATGGAACTCATAATCTGATATTAATGCAAAAAAATCTGTATTAGAATCTCCAAATACTATTCAGAAATATTATGATAGTTTTTCTAAATTCTTAAACTATTTTTTTTTTTTTTTGAAATGATTAATAAATTATATCAAAAAAAATCAAGTATAAAAACTAATAATAAAAAAATTTAATAATTTATTAAAACTATATCTTCTAAACAAATAATAAAAATTGTAAAAATTGTTTTTTCTTAATTTATAGTACAAATTTTGATATAAAAACTGTTAAACATATTATACTTATCATGATTATTATAAATCATTTCCTAAAGTTATAATCTTAGAATTAGATATTAGTTCAAATTCAGATGAAAAGATATTTTAAATGTAGTTAAAATATATAAAATGTCTTTGCATTAGAAAATCATACTTTTCTAGATATTATTACAGACGAACCTATCTTTTGTAGATTAATCAAGTATTATGTAAAATAAAATAATCAAATATAGATTCTTCTTAAATAATAACATAAATTAAAAGATTTTTGCTCAATTTTATTAGTTTTATTTTCAATTATAGCTTATTAAATTCAGTATTACATTTAAGGATTTATTTTCTAGATAAATTTAAATCTGTAATTAAATAACTATACAAATAATTAATCTTTTATAGATCTTAGTCAAAATATTTATATTATCAAAATAGAAATATATTTTTATAAAATAATGGATAATAAAATTGGTTTAAATAAAAGTTGAAATTAAAGTATTATAAAGTGTAAAATCAAAAATTTAAAAACATATTACTTTTCCAATTTTTGCATGTATTAAGCTTCGTTATAAAATTTGATATTTGGCTTTTTGGATGTTTCTCTTGCAAAAAAACCAGATAATAATTATATAATAATATCCTATAATATTTATGATTTTTGAGTTACTAAATCCAATTTTTTGCTGTAATAATACCTTTTTTTCTAAAAGATAAGTTATTTAATTATGATATCACTTATGTCAAGTTAAAATTTAAAAGTATTTTCAAATTTGTGCAACATATTAATTCAAACTATAATAAAAATGTATCCTTTATATAATTAATAATTAATATATTATTAAAAAAAATATGGCTCAGTTATATATGATAAATATTTAAATCAAAACTATACAATACTTTTATCCTTCTTTGATATATTAGAAATATATACAATATTTGTAATATCTAAATAATTAATTAATTTTTTATTTAAAATATAATTAATTATAAATAAAAATAAATATAATTATTAAACCTATTATAATTACAAATAAAATCTTTTTTTATATATTAAAGATATGTTAGAAATTAGCTAATTTAGTAGGAGTAATATGAAAAATGTAAAGTCCTATTGATTAAATGAGTGATATATAGTCATATAAAATGGGTTTATACAAATATATAATTTGTAAAACTATTATTATATATATAAAAGATCATTATTAAGGTTGCTGGAAAAACTAAAGAATTTTTTCAGTTGCTACAATGCTAAAATACTAAAACTTTATTAAAATTATATTAAAATCTATAATTACTTATACTAAAATTATAGCAAAATACTAAAATAATAAAACTATTATAGTAAGTGCTAAAATTAAATACTTATATTAAAATTTCACTAAAATTAATCATATAATTTTGAAGAGATTTAAGCAAGCATCCTTAATTATAATGTTATAAAATACTATATTATTATCTTATATAGTGAACTCTAGATATAACAAATTCTAAGATCTGGATATCAACTTCGTTATAAGCTTATAATGAATTTTTAAAGAATTTAATTGGCTAATTTACTATAGTAAGGTAATTTTAATATATTTGATTTAAAAATTTGCTATATCAAGGGTTCGCTATATCAAGATTTGACTGTAATACTAATGATTGAATTTTAGTATTAATATAAGATTAACAAAAAATTTAGCTTTAAAATTTTATGAAACGAGAGTTTATTGAGAACTCTGAAGATTTATATGATTAAAATGTACTTAAAAACAAAGTGTAATTATGGGTTAAGTAATTAGAGTTTTATTAGGTAAAAGAATTAGTTATAAGTATATTTATTTTTAATACAAATATATTTAGTAATTATCTTGATATTAATAAAATTAATGTAAATTCTTTAATGTTAATAAAATTCTAAAACTATCCTATTTATAAAAAATCTAATAATATAAATATAATAAATATAAAAATAAATAAAAAAATAATTTATAGTATATTTGCTATTTCTTACATATCTGGTATATATATAGAATATTTAGCATAATATGCAGATTTGGTATATTTCATCGATCTGCTAATTTTAGCAGATTTGGCAGATTATATAGCAAAATAAAAATCATATAATCTATTATATCAGATAATCTTTAATTACTTATTATAATACTACAATTACTGATATAACAAACCTGATTATATTGAAAATTCATTATACTAAACTAAATTATACAAAACTGATTTTTTATAGTTAATTATACTGTATATAATGATTCATAAAATAAAATGCTATATATCACATTTGAATTTATCTTAACTAATCCTAGTATATTAATCATACATTTGATATGCCAAATAATTATTGATGATCTATTACTTTTTTAGATAATATTTTTTTTAAATTTTTCATTTATTAATGATAAATTTAAGTTAAATTTTTTTTGTAAAAAAATACAAATAATTTAAATATTTTTAGTTAATTTTTCATATTATTTACTAATAAATTTAAATTAAAATCTGTAGAAGTAAAATATTTATTCTTATATCTATTATTCTACTTCTTAATATAAGAAAATTCTTGTGATTCAATAAAATTATTAGATTTTAGAATCTTTAAAGTCTCAGATCTATTGAATTTTTCTAATCTTTTGCATATTTGTATAAAGTCAAATATTTTCTTATTTAAAAGTTATATAAGAAAGTATCAAGTTTGATAGAAAAATGAATATCTTATCAATACATATAATCTTTGATTTTAAATATTCTGATGCTATCCTTTCTTATTGATAAAAAATATTATTTTATAATATAGTTTGACATGATCAAATAAATTTGAGATTTCATGAAATATTAAAAAAAATAATTATTATTAATAAACTTGATAATTTTATAAAAAAAAATATTAATAAAATAAAATTTAAATAAATACTTGTTTTCAAAAATTCAAATTTGAATCTAATCAAATAATAAAAAAATAATGTCTGAAATGTTAATGAAAGTAATTTTATTTGTAAAAAAATACAAAAAAATACTGATTTGATTTTACACCTAAAAACTATTAGTTATAAATGTAACAAAATAAGTTTAACCTTATTGATTATCAACTAATTATAAATTTTTTCATACTAGATAATCTTAATT